AGCAGAAACGAATTTGAAAACAAAATTAGTTATGCTATGCACTGGCAGCCTACGCAAATTATGAGAAATAAAAACAACCGGCGACATCAAGACACTGGCGAAACTAAATTAAAAGTGGAGGAAGAGAGGAAAGGAGTAGGGAAAGGAAATGAGAGAAACAAACCTTTGAACTTTAACGATACCGAAGCCGTTAATGTACAGATTACCTACGTAAAATGCGGAAAACTCTTGATTCCGCACGTTCACGGATCACCTTAGTTAATCTGGAGATTAGCTAGGTAATGTACACATTAACGACTTTCGAGCTTTAGCGATAACATATACACTAGCAGATAGGCCCGGCGTTGCTCCGACAAAAAGTAACAATAGCGAAGATTAAGATTATTACGTTATAGTCAACCTCACCCGTTTTCAAAGAATGCAAGAATTAGATCCTCCTGTTTCCAGACTAATTAGAGAATTTTTAGCTGGGTTAAAAATGCTCGATTTCCCGCAAAAACAAAAAAACTGCATCTGTAAATCTTGCACATCGCTTTCTCTGAACACTTCCATTGTTAACACTTCCATTGTTAACACTTCCTTTGTTGATACTTCCATTGTTACTTAACAGTTCCATTGTCGAAGTTTTAATCCTGTCCCTCTCCGGGGGAGGGGGAATTTCAAAAAAATCCGTTCTTAGTGTGCGTTCTCGTGACGTACCCTAACTGTGTACCAAATTTCAACTTTCAACTCCTAACCGTTTGGGCTTTGCGCTGATTATTATTATTATATATGTCTCGATTATATATGTTGCAGTCAAAACCCGTTTTCAGTTAGAACGCGTTTTAACAAGTTGAAACTAGTTTATACTGAATATCCCTGTTAAAACCAGTTTTGTCTAGTTAAAACTAGCAGTAAATTCTAGTTTGACTAGCAGTAAATTCTAGTTTTAACTAGACAAAACTGATTTATCTAGTTAATTTAATGCTGTACATGTTTTGATTTTAGATTAAACTAGTTTTAACTTTTAACATTAGTTAAAACTAATTTTAGCTACATAAATATGTTTGGGGAAAATAAATAAAGTTATGTATAGTGATTCGGCGGAAGATGCCTAACATTTTGCTTATGAAGGAAATTATAGCGCTAATTTGGGTTTTGGAGCCCTCTAATGAAAATATCATATTCTGAAGTATGTTTTTCAATAAAACTTTGGAGTTTATTTTTTAAAAAATTGTATATTGTGTTTACAATGATGACTTTTTCACTGTCTGGCATTTTAGGCATCTCACCCCAAGTATCCAGGTGAGATGCCAAATGCCATTAGCGTATGATAACAAATATAATTGCATAAAATTAATTTTTGAATTTCTTAACCAAATTTAATTTATTGCATATGTAGTAAAATGTACTTCATAGCAAGTATAAGTATAAGTATAAGTATTGTTAAGTTTCTGCCCGTTCTAACGTGCTCTATAGCTAGCTGAAAGCTTTTTTCAATCCAAAAACCTTTTTGAGAAGTCCTTATATAATTTCTATGCATATCCTGCAATAAAACGAGAAAAACAAAAATTTATTAAAAATAGGCATATTGGAATTCAATTAACAAAAAATAGGCATGTTACCCCAAGAAAAATGTGGCATCTTTTGGGATTTTGTTGGGGTAAGATGCCTAGTAGAGTCACGTGCTCCAGCATGTCCGATCGGGATCGGCTGTACCTGACAATGGAAACTTTAGAACCTTAACTACATCATACATTAATTGTTTTTTGCAATTTTTAATAAATTCTATTTTAAATTTTAGTTTTAAATTACTCTAGAAACATTTCACAACAAAAACTTCGTTCTTATCTAGCTTTTATTCTTCTCAGATGTAGAAAATGAAGTAACGGTAGCCAACTACAGCTTTCCGCACTCAATATTGGCCCAACGATTCATCATACAAATACATGACAGTATGTGACGTCACCGTTTGAAAATATCAAAAATTAGACACCTTCCCCCGTTTACCATCTTACCCCGAATCACTCTATATGTTGCAGTCAAAACCAGTTTTTAGTTAGGATGCGTTTTAACTAGTTAAAACTAGTTTATACTGGTTGTCTTTGATAAAATCCGTTTTGTCTAGTTAAAACTAGAATTTACTGTTAGTCAAAAATGAATTTGAGTTAAAACTAGTTAAAACTAGACAAACTAGTAAACTAGTAACTAGTAAAACTAGTTTTAACTATACAAAACGGGTTTTATCAAAGACATCCAGTATAAACTAGTTTCAACGTTAAAACACGCGTTCTAACTAAAAATAGGTTTTGACTGCAACATATATACTGTATAGATAAATCTGAATAAAGACAATAAAATGTTATGCATAAGGTCTTGGAAGTGGTTATTGAATAAATCTGAGATCAACCCGTAATCTCAATCACACTATTTTGGTGTTTATATTACAAAAACACCCGTTTTTGTTTCACAATAATTGCTACTGGAAGCTGACTAAGTTTTCTAAGTCGTTAAAAAACAACAACAATAATAATCACAACTACTTATTATAATTGTAATTTTACGCTCAGTTTATGAAAATTAGTCCGTTTTCATAGATTATTACTTGAATAAAAACATCTGAAAACCTACAAACAACTTAAGGACTCTATCAAAAGCTTGAATTATTGGGACATTCCAATTTTCAACAGGAGTGTTGAGTGTTGAAACCAAAAATTTGACGTCATCCAACTCGAGTACGAAGTGCTTAATTCCCATAATTCCATTCTCAGCAAGATGGATTCCATTCAAATGTCGCACCACATACTTACAATTCATTGGAAGGTAGCGTCAACATATCTGTTGAGTACTGAGTGTGTTGAGTCACCATTGAAAATCGGAATGGCCCGTATGTTTAATTTTGTATGTTAATTTTTTTTCTATATGTCTGTTATGGCGTATTTGTATTTTGTTTACACTGGAAAAAAGCTAATGGCTTATATCATAAATAAAGTATTAAATAATTAACTTGAAATAGTATAGATATAAAAGGGACAGAAATGTTCAACTTTTTAAACGAAAATTTATTCAATTAAAACATATCGATTTCACAAATATAAGACAATTTAGTGTTTAGTCGATGTTTAAATCCTTAGGTTTTCGTAATATGAAAATAATTTAATTAATTAATTAATTAATTTTGCTTCTTTCAAATGTCATGAACTTTCTATCAAATAATTATCGCTATAAATTTAATTCATTGTACACTTTTTGTTATAATTTAACATTTCATGTTAACTGTGAATGAAATAGTTGAACTGAATACAGTAATACCTCGACTTACGCTACCCCGACTTACGCGATTTTCAAATCTCGTCGATTCGTCTTTTGTTTGAGGGCCACGCAACTCTTGATTACTTACTCCCCCACACTATTGTTCGGCTTACATGTTCAGATGTGTCGCGCGGAATCGACACATAGCTACAATTTATTTTGTGTTATTTATTTCTGTGTTTGTTATATCTACGGAGACTTGAGAGACTCTATGTGGTGATTTCTTGTAACTGTGAACAAATCGAAAGACGAGATAAGATTAACGAGAACATTTATTAGCTTACGTGAATTCGACTTGGATTTTACACAAAAGGCATCTGCAATCGTGAACAATTGACAAAACAGTATACATTTATCAGATAATAAACAAAGACTCATTTTGTAAACAATTTACCTTTTGTATATACAACTGACAAGATTACCTTTCAAATTATAAACAGACTCGATCCCAAGCGGTCTTTTGATCGTCGGACATACAAAAGAAATGAACAGATGGCGCCTAACTTAAGCGCGGTTTACAATAACGAATATGATTAATCTTAACACTCTACTATGTCATCCAAACGAAGTAGAACTGATTCTTCTGCATCAAACAAGAAAAGAAAAACTTTATCTTTGGAATGTAAAGTTAACATTATTAAAGACTTCGATACAAAAATGAAAATTTGTGAATTGGCAAAGAAGTTTGATCTACCGGAATCGACGGTCAGAACAATTATAAAAGGTAAAGAAAAAATTCTCGAAGCTGTGAAAAATGCTCAATCTTTAAATTCAAGCATCATTCGTAAACGTCACGGTATTATCGCTGAGATGGAAACAATGTTAAAATTATGGTGTGATAATCAAGTAAATGTGAAAAATTGTATAATAATATAATTTGTTATACATATGTATTATCTAAGATTTTATTAAACATTTTTTTTCTAAATTATTGTTTTCTTTAGTCTCCGGCCCCAATTAAAAATTATTTGTATGTATTTATATGCGAAATTATACCCCGACTTACGCGGTTATCGCTCGGTCCCACCTATCGCGTAAGTTCGGGGTATTACTGTATTCAATTTTGCTTTCGTTATTAAATATCGAAATACTGTATTAATAATCAGAAATAATATTTTTAAATTAAATTTTAAAAATCAGATATCCAGAATTAATTAATCAGGTGGATGGTAATTCCTTTTGTGTTGTTTAAGTGAAACGACGTCTGAAAATTGTTCACAACAGAACAGACATTCCAATTTAGTTTCTTCGCCGTCCATTTTTGGGAAGAATTCCACTTGTGAGGAACTTTCCATTTGGTTAATTTCTAAATTGACATTTACTTTTTCAAAGAATTTTTTACATTCTTTAGAAATAAAAAGATTCTCTTCTAAAGAAATTTCTTCAAATTCTGTTGACTCTGGTCTTTGAAAACTTGTTGCTGGTTGTTCAAACGATTAAATCTGCACTTGTTGAACGTCTTCTGTACTTTTCTAAAAGTAAATAACATAAATAACATAACTGTACACCATTTAATAAAATACGGATTGCATAAAATATGTATTTTCAGATAATTATATACTGTATTATGTATTTCTAATGCTTTAAGGGGTTAACTAATTTTGGTTAATGTTACCTTAGGTTCGAAGATGGCGACGTTTCCGGTAATCTCGAAACGGAGGCGTGCGCGTTATCGGCGATAGAGGAAGCTATTTCGTAATAATGTGACGTAATGGGAAATTTTAATCGACGGGACGCGCGATGTTGTTACGAACGAATATGCAAATTTGTAAGTTTTGACGTCGTGTCTGTAGTTTACCGTGGAATAATGCAAATCGGTCGGTAGTCGTTCGAAATCGACAGTGTAGCGACAAAAGCGTATATTGGAATAATTGCTATCTTCGTTTGGATAATTACTTTTCGAAATTGGATATTTATTTGGTAATTATATTATTTTGGAATTTTAGTAATTTATAACTTAATTAAAACAAAATTTTTTTGGTAATTATATTATTTTGGAATTTTAGTAATTTATAACTTAATTAAAACAAAATTTTTTTGGTAATTATATTATTTTGGAATTTTAGTAATTTATAACTTAAAAAAAATTTGTTTTCTTTTTTAGTTTCTTTGCTAATTCTTTGAAAATGAGTTTTGCCGATTTCAGTTCTGATGATTTTTGGTCGAGTTGTACCACGCGTAATTTCTATACCACGTTTATGGGGGTATTTAAAGAATAAGAAACACCTGCCAAAGCACTACACGAGCGATCTCTCAGACTCCTACATGTACTTATTTATGTATAAGAAATTCATGAACTGGCCCGTTAAAAAACCCAGAGAGAGATTCCAAATTTTTGCACAACATTTAGCTATGATCTATCCTGGAACCGGAGAAAAACCGAAATGGTTCGAACCGGAAACTGTTCCGTCGGCGCCGGCGACGAATACGGGGAAGAAGAAAAGGCCCGCAACGAACGCCAACGAATCTACAATGTCGAAAAATTCGGGATCGAAAAGGAGAAAAAAGAACCATTGACGTGAGTAAATTTTTATTTATATATTTCGCGATTCGCTTTCTCTTTTTTCTTTTTCGCGGCGCAGCCGCATGCAAACAAGATGGCGACCGGAAGCAGTGACCGAATTGGCGACCTTCGCCATCTTGGAATCTAGGGTAACATTAACCCTAATTTTTAAGGTAATTAAGATAAAATATTTTAAATTAAATTTTCCTACACTTATCTACACCTGAATACAAATCCAATTATATATCTGCATAATTATTCAATAGAAAAACAAACAATATTCGATGTTCATTAATTGTCATTCAATTTAATGAGTGCAAATGAAGTTTTTATCCATGAAAAGGTCAAATGTCTGAATTAAAATTGTATTTAATAACGAATTTTGGAAAATTAATTCTAATGTGTTACTTTGGATACATGAAAATGACACAGAAACGTTTTTTTACCGGCTGATTATCGAATGACTCGTAGTTCATATAGAAAATTCTTAGTCTGCGCATATAAATGGCTGTTTTTAGACGAAGAATTCAAAATCGTTGCATGTTTTTAACAGGAATTATCCTGTTAATTAAAAAAACTTATTTTCTCGGAGTATCGAATGGAACAAATACACGTATTTAGAATATATGCGATGAATGAATATTGAAACAATGTGTGCTCGTTAAATAAGTGACAGGGCTGTGGAGTCGCGTAAAAATCTACCGACTCCGACTAGGGGCGGATTTGTTACCAAAAGAGTCCCGGAAATTCTGATGTCATTACGTGACCTCAGAATAAAAGATCCAATAAATAGAGTTCTAATAAAGATAGAGCGTAGAAACTTTTTATTCCAAAGCTAAAAGACTTCTCTAAGTAATATATAAATATGTATTCGATAATTTTTACTTTTCCGGCTGTTATATATAACAGAGGAAAAGTGTAGCGCTCGGTCAAAAAATGACCCCTCCCAAATTTTTACATTTTTGGACTCAGGACACCGTAAAATTTTGAGATATGCAAAAGATTCGAGGTGTTTTCTATATGTGTGGATGTTAGTCTGTGTGTGGGGGGGCAGTGGCGTAGCATAGATGTCAGCCGCCCGGGGCAGAGGAAAATTTCGTCGCCCCCTTATTTAGGTATCTCAATTTAAAAGACTAAAATTCAGTTTCGTCACAGAATAAGTAATGAAAAATTCCGTGCTAGTGTTGATCCGGACGGCAGGTGAGGTTTGTTCGAACAAAGTTCCTGACGCATGCGCAATGTCATTTTGCAATGAGAAGAATAATGTGCAGTGCATGCCGATTCTAAATCAGTTACAGTTAGGATTAGGGAGACTTGGATAGGAGTAACGCAAGTGACCTAGCTCTATTGGATATTGGAGATGTATGTGATTACGAATGAATCGTACAAGCAAAAAATAAAGAAAGAAAAAAAAAAGGTCGACAGGTTGCGCACAATATCCCGGACGGCGAGTCGGATATCGTGCGCACATTAAGTAACACTATTCCGTGCTCATTTCAATCGGTCCGAATCGTAGGTGGACGAAAATATGAAATAAAATGATTCAAATTCTTACAAGATATTATTATTTATTGTGAAATTTTGCTGCCCCCTAAAAAGTGCCGCCCGGGGCGGCCCGCCCCTGCCGTCCCCTCTTCGCTACGCTACTGGTGGGGGCATGATTTTGTTTATTCTGTTTGAAGCCTAATAATTTCTGTGGTCAGAGTGGTCAGAATCGGAGTCAGATGGTTTAACACAGGAATTAGTTATTAAGCGTTAAAGTGGTTGAACTAAATCGTGTCCCCATATACATTCTAACATCTTAGGCGAGAACATCTTAACGGGTTTTACTGTAGAGGAGAAGGTGGTATTATGGAACCCCAATTACATTTTAGTGAATTGTAAACAAGGTATCATAACTACATTCACATTTTTTGTGCGAAAAGTACTGGTAACTAGAAATCTAAATGTTCCTAATTGGATTTTTCGCTAGTGTAATTATAAGTATGGTTTTTGAACAAAGAGTCCGAAAGTAGGCTTAGAGAAAATCGGGTGGTAATATGGAACCTTACTGTATATTTTCAAAAAATGCTTTAATGTAGCCAAAAACAAATAGGAAAAGACAAAAAATGTTAAATAATTACCAAATTATTTACTCCAATGTATTTTATCACAAAAATGCTTTTATAATATAAAAATATGACCTACATCAACAATATATATTCCAGCAGCTCTTTTTTCGATATTCTCGGGAAGAATTGGCTTTCTACCTAGTGTCTTTTTCACAAATTGCTCCGGAGGAATGTCCGCTTGCAAATAGAAAGTTCGGAGGAGTTGAGTTCCATATTACTGTAAAAGCACCAATGGGGTCCGTATTTCACGCATCGCCATCTTGAATTAACTTATGTCTGTCAAGACCAAATTTTAAAAAACGTGAGCATCACACAGATTAATATGTACCCCTAAGTCTCTGGAACGGAATCATGCACCAGTGAACCTACAACTACACGATTTATATTTTAAAAATAATTAAATTCACTTAGCATTCAAAACTTGCGAATTTTGAAAAAAACAAATTTGCTGATTAAATGCGGACAACCGTTTAACTGAAGTAAAACGGGTTTTTCCCTTGCTATGGATGTCTGCCTAGTTCAGTTCAGCCACATTCCGCTACAGTTCGCCTTTATTATGAGTTCGAAATGGGGTGGTTCCATAATACCCGCAGTGTTCCATAATACCACCTTCTCCTCTACTATTATAAAATGGCTAAAGAGCTTACTTTGAGGGTAGAGACGAGCTTTTTTTTTTTTTTTAATTTTGAACGCTAATGAGTAAAATATTCATTAAGAAATATGACACATGACCACTTTTTTGTCTTCACCCTGTCGACCTTTTATTAATTAATTAAGAACCAAAATTTAATAGTATTAATGCCCCTTCATACGCAAGCTACAGTGCCACATTTTGTTTCTTAAAGTTTACCCATTCTGAGATATTGTTTAATATCTCAGAACAGAAATTAAACAAATTAGATGCCAACACACACGCGCGCGAATTTTTCCCCTTTACTGACTTTTTTGAGGGGTTCGGGAGGTCTCCAAACGTGTAGATTTCCAAAAAAATCTTGGAGAGTCAAATTTGACACGATTCCAATACTTTTCCGTGTTATACATAACAAGTTGGTAAGTAAAAAGGAGTCGGAGTCGGCGGATTTTTCGACGACTCCGACTCCGGCTAAAACACCAAAACTCCACGACTCCGATTCCACAGCCCTGATAAGTGAAGTTACTATTATAAATTTTTCACTTTAATAGTCGATTGTGTGTTAAAAGTTTAGTTATTCACATACTTATACACTTACTTCGGAGCAAGATGAAGTTTCCTCCTCCAGATAGACTCTTCAGATGTGTGTGTTTAAGATACCTTCGGTTAAGAAAGTGCCGTTGCAAAAATTACACGAAAATGGCCGTTCTCCAGTGTGAGTTCTTAAGTGACGTCTTAAAGCAGCTGGAGATGGGTATAGTTTTCTGCACATGGGACATTTACGGCTTGTCGGGTCGTTTGATGAAATCTAATTATTAAATGAATTTTTAGTTAATTGTTAACAATACTGTATATAAAAACATAAAACGCAACTTTTTAAACGCAAAAACTTCATGGCAGTTATATATGGAAAAGCTATTTAAACATTGAATTCCACGATATATTTCATTGCGATGATGTTGGAGTTAAAAGTGAAAGATTTTGTTCAAGTTTTATTAAATTATGTCTATAGAAAATTGTTTTATAAAAATAGAGCTAACGGGGTGCTGTAGAGTAATTTGCTTATATCTTATTATTGACACTAGTAATTACTAGTTAATGACTAGAAATTATTTATGGTAATATAAATAATTATCACATATTAAAATATTATGGTATTGTATGTACGATACCAGATTAAGATTGAAAGTGATCTGTTAGGAATTTTTTAAAATACATTGTCAAATTAAAAGTGTTTCACAAAATAAACGTTTTACTCACCATTTCTGATTTTAGTTAATTTAATTTAAATAATAAATGCTTTAAACTTAATTCTTAAAATAAAATGTGGAAATTTCACCGTAAAAGAAAATAACGATGCACAGAAATAATGTTATAATTTTATTGTTTTCTGAGAATGATTAAATGCGCATGTATTTGAACACAAGAATAATTGGACACAGAGAGAGATAATTGTATTTTATGCCTGTTTTCTCACATGTCTTTCGGCTGATTTCCTATATTTTAACCGCCACATTCACATTTGTTTTTTTAACTTTTTTCCACCCTGTGGGCACTAAGAAAGCCTCTTTTTAGCAAGCCCATTAAGCATTCGGCCAGGTCCACAATGGAGCGGCCAGGTGGTGAGAAACGGAGGGCGCGACATATTAAAAACAATATATTTGTACAGCCATGAGTTTTCATAGCTGTACAAATATAGCACTTCTATTGACTACTCTATAAATTTTGGTTGATATTAGTCTTTTCCAAACTAAAATTTCAAATTTCGATAATATATTACGAAGTTTTCTAATGCTTTTATGTTATTTTCATATAATCATCATAACAAATTTATTGGTAAACTAGCTGTTACCCGCGACTTCGCCCGCGGAGGTTTTGCAAGCAAACCCCGTTTATATTCAGTATTTCAACAACCATAGTAATTGTTATCTAACACCTACCGCTGAGAATTACTGAAAATAAAACGAACTATTTTCAATTTGATCAATTTTCTGGAACGTTTACAATCGTTCTATAATCGAACCAATATGCAATAACAAATTCGAATTTAAAACGGTTCGAACATTTGGTTAAAAAATCGAAATATATGAAAATATTTATAACAATGTCTGAAATGTTATCAATTTAATGCACCTAATAACTCAATGAAGACTAAACGTAGTTGAAAACAAAAAGTCGCATCTAAAATAGTACAGTAGAAGCCGTTCTTCCGGTTAAGCCTTAATCTTCTCTCTCTCCCCCCGCGGGGAATTTCGAAAAATCCCTTCTTAGTG